TGAAGTTATTCCCTGGGTCCTGCAATGGACTTGAGCCTGCTTTTGTCATCACTCTAAAGTTTGCCTTGCAGCTTCCAGGTCACACTAGCTGTTTTTGAGATTGGTCTGTGGCACTCTGAGTACTTTTGTCAGGAGGAAACAGCCTGCCATTTGGCATTTCTTCTAAGCCTCCTACAGCAGGACTCTTCTACCATTCTACCCTTAGCAAAAGTTACCTGGGGGTCCTGAGCTGGAGGACTCTTGCCGAGGTCCCCGAAAAGTCCTCGGAGGCACTTGCTACATCACAGCGGTCCTGTCTTAGCTGGGGTTTCTATTGCTGTGATGAAACACCAATGCCCAAAGAAACTCGGGCAGCAAAGGGTTTATTTCACCCACAGTTCCATATAACATGTTGCTCATCATCAAAAGTTGTGAGGGCAGGAACTCAAACAGGGCAGGAACCTGAATGGAGGCAGGAGCTGATGCAGAGGCCGTGGAGGGATGCTGCATACTGGTTTGCTTCTCATAGCTAGCTCAGATTGCTTTGTTCTAGAACCCAGAACCACCAACCCAGGGACAGCCCCACCCAGCATGGGCTAGGCCCTCCCCATCAAACATTAATTAAGAAATGCCTTACTGGCTTGCCTACAGCCTAATCTTACGGAGGCATTTTCTCAGTTGAGGTTCCCTCCTCTCTGATGACTTTAGCTTGTGTTAAGTTGATGTAAAACCAGCCAGCAGCACTGGTCTAAAAGTACTCATCATGGGAAAGGTGGTGCCTTTTTGGATCTCTGTGACACGAGCCTAAGAAAAGTTCATATACAAGAAAGCATAAGACCTTTAGGGCAGAGAGGGAGGAGTGATGAGCAAAGGGGTCAAGACCAGGCTGTAGAAACCCACAGAAACAGCTGACCTGAAGAAGGGGTTGATCATGGACCCCAGACTGACAACCGGGAAACCAGCATAGGACTGTTCAGACCCCCTGAAGGAGGAACTCAGTTTGGAAGTCTGGATAACTTATGGGGCCACTGGTAGTGAATCAGTATTTATCCGTAGTACACGAGTGGACTTTGGGAGCCCACTCAACATAGAGGGGTACTCTCTCAGCCTAGACACACTGGGGAGGGCCTAGACCCTGCTCCAAATGATATGACATACTTTGAAGATCCCCATGGAAGGCCTCACGCTCCCTGGGGAGCAGAAAGGGGTTGGGATGGGTGGTCTGCGGAGGGCATGGGAGGAGTGGAAGGAGAGGGAACTGAGATTGACATGTAAAAGAAGCTTGTTTCTAATTTAAATTAAAATAAAAAAAAAGACCCTTAGGAAGCCACCTGGGTCAAGTTGTGTGCCTTCAATGTTTAACATAACACTCAATAAAGGGTCTGTCCGTCTGTAAATATGTCTGCATGTCTATATGTACAGATTTTTCTTTTAAATAGGGTTACAAAGAGTTGGGGAATGGCATTCCACTTACGATCTTTAACATACCCACATTTGGGGCTGGGGTGGGATGGGGTAAGGGTCAATGGGCACGGATCTGAGTGCCGTCCCGTGCACTCACAAAAGCTCGGCACAGTGGAGTGCATCTGTAGCTCCCAGTGAGTTCCAGGTTCAGTGAGAGATTCTGTCTCAAAAAACAAACAAAGGGGGAAACATGGTGCAGAGTGACAGAGAAAGACCCTCGACACTGACCGGCCTCCTCTGCCTCCATCCGCAGTTGCACACACGTGTGCATTCAGGCACACACCTCCACCACTCTCCACCCAAAGATGTCCAAATCTTTTCTTCTCACATGCTCCCTAGAAGACAGGCAGTGGCGGCAAACCCCTTTAATCCCAGCACTCGGGAGGCAGAGGCAGACTGCTATCTAGACCAGGTCAGCCTGGTCTACAGAGTGAGTGAGTGCCAGGACAGGTTCCAAAGCTACAGGGATACCCTGTCTTGAAAAATAAAACAAACAAACAAACAAGCTGTGGTAATGAGAAAAAACCAAGGAATGGGAATTCTCTTGACAGTGACGATGTAGCAAAGAAATAAGCTACAAGGATGTATGATGTGGAATTCTTTGTTGCCCAGGGAGACACTTGGAAAGCCTAAATGTTTGTTAATAGGCTTCTGGTTGAATGAGGGATGCTCAGTCTACATAATGATTTCAAGGAGAGTATTAGAGAGAGAGAATTGAGTCATGTTTACTCATGTGAAACAATTTCTAAGAAACATTATTCACTGGAAAAGCAAGGGACAGAACTGTAGGTATAGTGGGTTGGTTTTTTTTTTAATTCCAAAGACACATGCTTATGTATATGTATGAAGATATGATTATAACTAGAAACTCTTAGAGAAAATTTGCAAGTAGCTGTTGCGCATGGTTAGCTCTGGAAAGAATGACTGAAACCCTGGGGTACAGTGGAAGCATGTGCTTTTGAATTATTTGGATATTTTATTGAATGCCCAATTGCTGTTCAGCTATAAAAAAATTCTAGTATAATAACATAAGCTAAAAGCAACATTCTAACCACGGGTGCAGGGTTCCCTCTGGGGGTAGACTGCGTTGACACCCTTCTCTGCATCTTGGGATCTCTCTCCTGGTATCCAGGACCACGGGGAGAATGCAGTAGGCACAAAAATAGAGTTGGAGCCGGCCTTGGCTGCACTCGTCCCCCAGGGGCCTCCTGCCGTTGAGGCGGTTAGGGAAGAGTTGGGTGGAAACCACCTTTCCATGCAGGGCCTGTACACCGGTGAACACCACCACCCAATGTCTAGGGCCTGGTGCATCAGCAGTTTGGCCTCACTTGAGGGAGCTGGAGGAGGGGATGAGAGAGAATGAGAGGTGCTGTGAGTGTGAGGCTAATGGGAGAATTACCAATATGGAGTCAGGTAAAAATATAAGGGTGTTTATTAGGGAGATGCCTTACTTACAGCAACTTAGCCAGCCGGCAGGGCATGGAATAAGTACAGCAAGCCGATGATGAAAAGTAAGAAAGGGCTTCCACGTGGGTGCCCCTCACTCTTAAACCTTCCCCCACATCACCCTGACCACGCCCTCGCAGGCAGGCGTGGTCAGGCACACCTTGTAGCCACTCCTTCAGGAGGCGTGGTTACAGTGTCTCCCTACATGAGGCAGATGCTCTATCCCTGAGCTATAGCCCCAGGCTCCTTTCTACTTTTTCTACATTTTGAGCCAGGGTCTCACTCAGTTGCCAGAGCTGGTCTTCACCATGTGATCCTCTCGCCCCAGCACTGCCCGTTTCTGGGGTACAGGTTCACACTACAGATGCGTACCACCAGGCCTAGCCTTTCTCAAGGATGTGGAATTCTCTCTTTGCTTTAGTCAGCTTGATTCAGAGTCTGTGTTGTTACTCGTTTCAATGAGAGCTCTGATGGAGAAAAAGGAGAGGCGCAGGCACAGAAGAGTCCATTGTCGTAGGTGTGTGTGTGTGTGTGTGTGGGAGAGAGAGAGAGGGAGAGAGAGAGAGAGAGAGAGAGAGAGAGAGAAGAATAAGAAAATGAGTGGAATGATATGCAGTCAGTCCTGATGGTTTTGGTTCATGATGGGTGAGAATCAGCCACGCAGCCATCCTACTCAGTGAGTGTGATAGTCAATAAATCACATTACATCTTCAACATTTCATTACAAAATGGGCTTTGTCAGAGGTGTTTTGCTCAGTCAGAGGCCAATCCAAGCTAAGCTAAGCTATGGTATTAGATATATTACATGCATTTTTTTTTACTGACGATATTTTTAAACCCATGGTAAATCAAGAGGCATCTGTAAGAGAGTAACTGGATGCTGGGGTGGCTGGATTAAAAGTTATCATTCTGTTATACATGTTCCTCATTTAGATTTGTATTTATGTGTATGAGCATTTTTCCTCCACGTATGTGTGTGCACCACGAGCATGCTTGGTCCCTGTAGAGGACAGAAGAGAGCTTTGGGTCCTCTGGAACTGGAGTTACAGATGGTTATGAGCCTCAGTGTGGGCCCTAGGAATCAAACTCAGATCCTCCGCAAGAGCAGCCAGTTTTCTTAGCCATGGTACCACCTCTCTAAACCTGTTTTTTGTTTTTAAATTTGAATTTAATCTTTTAAAAGATTTTATTTATTTATTATGTATGCAACATTCTGCTTCCATGTATATCTGCACACCAGAAGAGGGCACCAGATCTCATAACGGATGGTTGTGAGTCACCATGTGGTTGCTGGGAATTGAACTCAGGACCTCTGAAAGAGCAGTCGGTGCTCTTAACCTCTGAGCCATCTCTCCAGCCCCCGAATTTAATTTTTTGAGATGGTTTCAGTATGTATTTCTGGCTGCCTGCCTCTGCCTCCTGTGTGCTGGGATTAAAGGTGTGTGCTACCACAGCTAGCTTAAGATGTGCAGCCGTGGCTAGAACTATATTCTTACCTCCGCCCTTTCAGCATATCCTACCATTGATGCTCCAATGGACTTTTTTTTTTAATTTATTTTGTGAGTATGTGTATTATGCATGCATGTGTGTGTGTGCAAATGTGGTGTGTGCTCATGTATGTGTATCTGTGTGTGCGTGCGTGCGTGTGTGTGTGTGTGTGTGTGTGTGTGTGTGTGTGTGTGTGTGTGTGTGCTGCTCAGAGGTTGATAGCAGGAGTTTCCCTCAATCACCCTTCACTTTTTATAGCAAGGCAGGATCTCTCTCCTTGAACCCAGAACTCACTAATTTTCCTATTTGGCTACTCTAGTTAACCAGCTTGTTCCAGGAATCTTGGTCTCCTCCTCCCGTGCAACCTATGACGAGTGAGCCACTGTGCCCATTCAGCATTTTTATGGGTTCTGGGGACCTAAACTCCAGTCTTCATACTGGCATGGCAAATGATTTACCCCCAGGCCATCTCCCCAGCGCCTTGTTCTGTGTTTATTACTTGCAGTGCATTAAGCATGGGTTGCTAAGGGCTCATCGTCCTCTGCCAAGTTGCTTTAGCTGTTCATCAGTTCAAAGGGGTGAGAGGAACTCTCTTCTCTACTGTTGGTGTTGCAGGCAAGAACATGAGCCGTCCCTACGCAAGTGACAACTGTTCGTTCGATGACGTGGATAAGCTGATGAGTACCTTGCAGCTGGCAGTCCACATCCCCACCTTCCTCCTTGGCCTGGTCCTTAATCTCTTGGCGATCCGAGGCTTCAGTACCTTCCTTAAGAAGAAACAGCTAGAATACATTGCCACTTCCATCTACATGATTAACTTGGCTGTCTTCGACTTGCTGCTTGTGCTCTCGCTCCCATTCAAGATGGCCCTGCCGCAAGTGGAGTCGCCCCCACAAGTCTTCTGCACTCTGGTGGAGTGCCTCTACTTCATCAGTATGTACGGGAGCATCTTCACCATCTGTTTCATCAGCGTGGACCGCTTCCTAGCCATCCAGTACCCACTCCTGGTCAACCACCTCCGGTCCCCCAGGAAAGCCTTTGGGATCTGCTGCAGCCTCTGGATCCTGGTATGGGTTGGAAGCATCCCCATCTATACTTTCCACAGGGAAGTGGAGAAATACAAGTGTTTCCACAACATGTCTGATGGCACCTGGAGTGCCAAGGTCTTCTTCCCCCTGGAGATCTTTGGCTTCCTCCTTCCCATGGGCATCATGGGCTTTTGTTCCTATAGGATCATTCACATTCTGCTGCGCTGTCGGAACCCGGTCCAACAGAGAGCCTGCATCTGGACCATCGCTACCAATCTTGTCATCTTCGTGGTCTCCTTTCTCCCAGTGCACTTGGGTTTCTTCCTGCAGTTCCTGGTGAGGAACGGCTTTATCGTGGAGTGCAGAGCTAAGCAGAACATCAGCTTGTTCCTGCAATTGTCCCTGTGTTTCTCCAACATCAACTGCTGCCTTGATGTTTTCTGCTATTACTTTGTCATCAAAGAATTCCGCATGGGCATCAAGGGCCCCCAGGCTTCCACAGTCGAGCTGGTCCGCCAGGACACCATGATCTCCAGGGGTTACGGGGAGGTACCCCTCTCAAAGGAAGGAGATCCTAGCCCCGAATTTTCATAAGGCACATCCCGTGCTTCTTTGACAATCGCTGAGTGACATCTTTGTTTTGTGTACCTCTAAGACCTTTCCACAGCAACTGGATGACTGACATATTTCACCATTGGTCTGGGTTTGCTAAAGAACCAGATGACTTATTCATTTCTAAGTCCAAAATGTATGAAGCAGAAGAAACAAACAAGAAAACGTAGCATTAGGCATGTGTTTCTCAGCTTTCCCATCTTTCCATTCTGTTGGAAGAGTCTAGAAAGGAAGAGAGAGATGGAGAAAGGATTGAGGCAAAGAAACAAGAGCACTTTGGTAGAGATCTAGGGATGGGGAGAAGTATGCCTTCAAGATAGAGCAAGCTTGTACTTTTTCCCAGACCTTTCTGAAGCTCTGTTGGCAATGACATCACAGAAATGATGACAAAGAGGGCTTTTAAGGACTGAACAAATTCCCTTCCAGCCCTAGAAGGCACAAGTGGGCATCCAAACTTCAGGCTCCTGAGAAAGATGGAGGGAGAGAGGGGGCTGTGTGAAGCAGGTCATAGGGAAACAGGGGACATTATGGGACCCATGGGGACAGACAGAGTGAAAGGGACCAGCACATACCCAGGGAAGGAAAGAGACACGCCAGAGCTGGAACTGGATGCCCCTCTCCTATTGTCATCTAGAGTAGTGCTGTCCCAGGATTAAAATAGCCTAAAAATATAGCTCTCTTGAAGGTGACCGGTCTTCTATCTTGAACAGCCTTGAAGTATAGTTCATTAGACCTGTGTGAAGGGCATGAGAAAGAATGGGTCTTAACTTGGTTCAGTCATAGCAGAATGAAGAAGGTGTCCCTTTTGGGTCCTGGTTGGACAGCTGGTACAGGTGACACTGTCTAGGGAGCTGGGCAGGAATTGGAAGGGAGGGGGTGACTTTCTTCACTGGCCACACCAAGGATTGGAGGAAGGTGGTAGGCGCTCACCAGTTCCTGGAGGGAAACTACAGACAGCGGAATCAGTGTGGGAGCCTCCATCGGCTCTTCTTCTTACTCTGGCGAAGGAGCTCACAGTGACAGCTGAAAGCCTAGCTTGCGATGACTCAGCTGTTCCAGAGAGTGAAATGGTTAGAAGGATAAATTGTGGGGTGTTTTTGCAAGACGGAAGGAGTGGGATGAGAAGAAAGCCATGAGGCGTCACATGAATAAGTCACAGGTCTTTAGGAACAGAAGGGCGGGGGTGGGGTGGTGATGACGTGGGAGGATGGGAGAAGATGGAGATGTGTCTATAATTTGGTTCCCGCCCACAGAGCAAAAGATGGCGGTGAGGCAAGGGATAGGAGAAAGAAGGAGCAGGAAGGGGAGGAAGAGGAGGGAGGGAGGGAGAGGAGGTAGAAGGAGAAAGAGGAGAGGGGAGAAAAGGAGGAGAGGAGGAAGGGCTGAGGCGGGGAGAGAACAGGAAAGGTGAGCAGGGAGGGTAGAAGCAGAGCGGCTTCCTCCTGAGTCTGTCATTCCCATTGGCTCAGAAGCCATGGAGAGTAGGTAGGTACTTCCAGGCCATGGTGACTGTAGCAACGTTTAGGTGGCACTGTGGAGCCACCTGTGGGCCACTGGAGGGAAACGTAAAGAAGAGAATCAAGGCGTTTGGCTGTGGAGGACTGAGGGTATCGGGACAAGAGCCCTCTGTCAGGGTTGGGCCTTCAGGAACCTGCTGGCGGAGACTCAGGGCTGTGCAGACCCAGAAATGAGGGTCCCCGCTTGGAAGTTTTGTCTCTCAGCTTTCCTGACTAGAGATACCATCTGTGACATTGAGATAGCCCAACTGTTACCTGCAGCGGAACATTTGGGGCTGCGTTAGGTTAGTCCATGACTGGGTAGGTTTTGTGACCACCTCCTCTGAGTTCTCTCTGTGTATGGAGGCGTTAGCCCATCCAACAAAGTCAAATAGTCCCCTCCATGTGCAAGTGTGTCTGCCAGGCAGGCTTCCAGAGAGCAAAGGCTTAGCAGGCCCTGATTACCCACCATTCCCACCGACGATCAAAGCTAAAACCTGGTGTGTGTATAGCAAGACTCTAATGTGGAAAGGGTTTTGAGTCCCCAAGATGATCATTATCAAAAGGGCAGGGAAGCTAGAGCCAAGGTTCCTGGAGGGGTACAGCAGTGTCAGATTGGTGTGATGACCCTGGACCTGGAAATAGGGGGGATAAGGCTTGAGAAGCCCCTGATTCATTCTAAAATAGTGAGTTAAGGGAAGACAATGCTTGCCTTTTCCTGTGGAGACTTACCTGGTGTGTGTCCAGACTCTGGGCCCAAGTCACCAGTCCTAGGGGTCCTCAACTGGCAATTGGCCCAGCAGTACAGGAAATGAGGGGGGTCAGTGTTAGAGTTGGAGTGCAGAATATTGCACCAGTGGATGGAGACACCCAGGACTTAGTTGTGGAGAAAGCCTAGATTCCTGGAACTAAAGCCAATGGAGCTAGAAGCTATTGCTTAACCATAAACGTGACCTCATTTGTACCCAGGCTAGAAAGCCTGACACATCAGCTCCCATGTACAGTTGTGAAATCTGGCAAACTTAATCGGAATATCAATTTGATTAATATGATTTACCAAATAAATAAATTCATTCAATATGCTGTGACCTTGTCTTGTCTGGTTCCAGAGAAGAACTAGTCTCTAATGGCCCCTGCTAAGGGATTCAACAATTGTGGTCCCTTTACCAGACACCTGGGCACCAAGTATGATGTTACAGAGTGCCTAGCTCAGGTGTGCAACTGGTCTTCCCAGTTGATCGGGAGCTAGACCCTAGGAGGTGTCTAGTGGTGGTCACACGAGTGCTCGGTTATCTGTGGTAGCCACTGAGTCTCTTAGACCCCACACGCCTGGCCCCCGTCCTTTTCAGCCTGTTCCTCCATCTTGTCCCAACACAACACTGGCTTTGTATACGTGAGGGTCCCATCCCAAGAAGCCTGCAGACCACACGTCCTCCAATGGTAGCGCTTCCTTCTCTGGCCAGTTATGGTATAAATCTATCTTTCCTCATGGGGAACTCTTCCTCACCTACTAGAGCCCTTGACTAGAGCTCAATAGGCCTAGGCCTAAGCCACTCCATTCTCCTACCTACTCAAGTTCCAAGATGTGACCCGGATGTGGAGGGCTGACCAGGGACAGCCTCATTCCTTAACAGTCACTTTTCTGTTAACCCTAGCTACCTCGTGGCCAGCCCCTTGGCTCCCAGAGGATTACCCTGGACAATGTCTACTCATCGGCTGCATTTGCCGTTATGTTCCTCATGTGTCCCCTCCCTGTGGACCCTTCCAGGGAGGATTTGATTGGAAAATGCCTGTTCACATCAGCTGCATTTGTCAGCTGTGTTCCTCAGAAGTCCCCTCCCTATGGACCTTTTAAAGCTGAAGTCATTACAGTAATACAGTGGAGATGCCCTGGGTTTCTGAGAATGCCCACAGGGAAGATTCTACCCTCTAGAAAGTTACCATGAATCACCAGTAATTTCAAAGATGCTTGAAATGACTGTAGCAGCTGTAGAGTCTCGAGAGGATCAGAAAGGATTGACTTAACAGACCAGCGAGGAGAAGACAGGGTGAGCTTTCTAACCAGACATGAAAAGGGATGCTTCGCCAGCACATATACTAAAATTGGAACTACACAGAGAAGATTAGCATGGTCCCTGCACAAGGATGACACACAAATTCATGAAGTGTTCCGTGTTTTTTTTTGTTTGTTTGTTTTTTAAGAGTGCCAACATGTGGAGATGCTACCTGTCAGGTCCTCTGTGGCCAGCCAGCTACACTGTGGACAGCATCCTTTTGAGGCCACAGAGAGGCTGGCTGAGGCCACTGTAAGAATCCCATTCTGAGGACAGGGGATGGAAAGGTTCACAAAAATTGATTTTGAGGTGCACACACCAAAACTGTCACCGTAGCACCCCTCATTTCTCAGCGGTGCCTCTTGGTAAGGCCAGCGCAGAGCTCCCACAGGTGCTGAAGGAACTTGAAGCACTGTAGAGGT